ATTGAAAAAATTGTATAAATTATATAAAAATATAGAAATAAATGTAAAATATTCTGTGTCCTGGACACTGGATGAGGTGAGGGATGTGGGACAGTGCAAACTTCATTTCTGATCTCACAGATCTTTAACTGCCTCAAAGAGTTTCTGCTCGATATTCCTTCTGTATCACCTCTAAAAGTTCATTTTTATTAATTGATTATAAGCTTGAATAGTAAATATTCAATCCAGGAGTTTTTCATTTTAGCCATTGTGCTATTCTCAAGAAATATTTGCATTGTCATTTTTCCCACTCCAGGGAAGCAATATTTGTATTTTCCCTTTGTGCAAATGAAACCTGCTGCTTTCAAACTTATCTTTTGGATCCTTTGAAAGGCTGGGTTGAATGAGTCTTTTTTTTCTCAAATTCTTTTAAGGTTTCCCCAAGCAAAGCTGAAGCCAAAAGTGATTCTGAAGACAAGGTAGGCAGTTCCTGGTTCACTGGTCATTATGTGCTTTTCACACAGAGATTTTCTCTTCATTTTGTTGTGGTTTTTCCCAAGCTGATGTCATGATTTAAAGTAATTTCAAATGTTTTTCCCCTGGATAAATTGAAAAGGAAGAGACTAAACAGTGCAGTTCTTAAATCATCTATTGCAACCAAAATCTGTTGTGTTTTCTGCAAGCTTGGTGATGATTGGTGTCACTTTTGGTTATTTCTTTGACTTGTTCTTAATCTAAAATTTCAGTGAAAACGTTGAGTCCACAAAAAATTCTTGTTGTGTTGCTCTTAGAACAGTTTTCCTTTTGCCTTGAAAAAACTTTATTAAAAAACAAAGAATAAACCCTAAAAATGGAAGTGTTTTTTTCCATGCAGATATTAGCCAAAATCACAACATTTTGGGGTTTTCTCCTATTTTTTTATTCTTTTATCCTATTCAACGATCAGTCTTTGCAGCACTCTTGGTGAGTACACGAGGGATTTAATTCTGGAGAAATGTGAAAATTATTCTCAATAATTCTGAATAACTCTGAAAATCATCAAAAGGAGTCTCAGGGAGACTTGAACTCTTTCCAGAGGTGGAGAATAATCTGGTTTAGATGGAAATAATCCGGTTTGGATGGAAATAATCCGGTTTGGATGGAAACAACCCAGTTTTCATCCCTGCCCCAGTGCCAGGTGACTGCTGGTGCTGCTGTAATTGGGACACGAATTTTCTGGGTGGGTTTGGTTTGCTGGCACACCTGGCAGGGCAAATAAATCCAGGTGACTTGCAGGATGTGCAAACTCCTTCCAGGAGATTAAATGGGAGTTCTCTTTCCTGGGAATTCCTTTATCTGATATGGCATTTGTACTTTCATAAAGGGAAAATAGGTTTAGGAGGTTGATTTATCAGCTTCCACGTAGAAAAGCTGCAGATTTTTTTGCTGATCTGAAATAGTGTTTGGGTTTGGGTTTTTTTCCTAAAAAAAAACAAAAAAAACCCCAAACTTAAGTGTGTTAAAGGTAAAGCTTTGCTATGTGAAGTTTTCCCAAGTTTCCCAAGAATTATCAAGGAATAATCCTTCATCCTCCTCCATGCCAAGTAATGAAAAGGATCTTCCTGCTTTAAACCCTGAGACCTTGAACAATTAATGAATTAATTTCAAGGACATTAATGCAAGCTTGAAATATTTTAGGCAGTGAGTATCATGAATATTCACACTGCCCTTTTCCTAAATAATGCATTATATAAAATGTTTTAAAGTCCCTATTATGCTGCAATAAAAAAGACTGAAGGTTCCTACAAAGATTTATATATTTGCCTGTTTTGAAATGATAAATCTTAAATTGCTTCTTCATGATGTGAAAAGACAGAAGTTTGTGGGATTTAGATTTCAGTTTAGTGGAGATTTTAGAGGGAAAGTTGTGATTTAATTTAGAATCAGGTGGATTGCCTTGACTTTTGTTTTGCTGAAGCTAAAAGGGAATATTTTCCTTTAACCCCACGCGTGTGAGTGATGGAATGATGTCTTTGATAAATCAAATACCCGCACTAAACGCTCACCTGCTGTTGTGCACAAGGGCTCCAAGGTGGAGAAGGGCCCTGGGGGCCAGCCTGGCCCGAAGGCAGCGGCAGAATCCCCCCCCAAAGGAGGCAAGAAAAAGAAGGCAGAGAGCCCCAGGCTGGGCCACGGCACCTTTAGCAAACTCTTTAGGCACAAGGTCGGTATGGAGGAGCCGAGCCCCGGAGAGCACAGCTGGCTGCGGGCACCGACACGGGGCAGCTCCCTGCGGCATCTGGCCAGATGTGCCGGGGGGGATGGAAACCGTCCTGAGCTGCGGTGTTCCTCCCCCTGAGCCCGCTGTGAGCTCGGGGTTCTGCTGCCATTCCTGCAGCGATTCCTGCAGCGATTCCTGCAGCGATTCCTGCAGCGATTCCTGCAGCGATTCCTGCTGTAATTCCTGCCACAGTTCCTGCAGCAATTCCTGCTGCAATTCCTGCTGTAATTCCTGCAGCGATTCCTGCTCTAATTCCTGCAGCGATTCCTGCTGCAATTGCAGCGATTCCTGCAGCGATTCCTGCAGCGATTCCTGCAGCGATTCCTGCTGTAATTCCTGCAGCGATTCCTGCCACAGTTCCTGCAGCGATTCCTGCAGCAATTCCTGCAGCAATTCCTGCTGCAATTCCCACTACAATTCTTGCAGTGATTCCTGCTGCAATTCCCACAACAATTCCCACAACAATTCCTGCAGCGATTCCTGCAACGGTTCCTGCAGCAATTCCTGCAATGGTTCCTGCAGCAATTCCTGCCATAATTCCGGCAACAATTCCTGCAGCAATTCCTTCAACAGTTCCTGCCATAATTCCTGCAGCGATTCCTGCTGCAATTCCTTCCACAATTCCTGCAGCAATTCCTGCCATAATTCTGGCAACAATTCCTGCAGCAATTCCTGCAACAATTCCTGCCACAGTTCCTGCAGCAATTCCTGCCCCGTTACTAACACTGACTAAACCCCCCCCATGCCACTAAAAACCAAAATCAAGTCAGAGGTGCTGACAAACAATGAATTGTGCAGAGCCTGGAACAGAGAGGTTTGGGAGCTCAGCTCAGGTCTGATATCATCAATGCACACCAGAACTTGGCTAAAATTGGCATTTTTGGGGCATCTGATACAGCACAGAGGAGGCTGAAACATGGAATTTCCTGTAGAAATAGGGATTTCTCCCGGCAAACAAGAAAATTAATTTTAGTTTACTACTTTAGTTGGAAGTAAAAAAAAAAAAAAAAAAAAAATCTGGGTTTGATGGGCATTTTAAAGTGCTTAAAACGCACAGTCAAGCAAATGGTTGTTTCAGAGGATATGAGGTTTTATATTAAAACCCAAAAATCACCAAAACCCCAAAAATCACCAAAACCATTTGGTCTCAAGCTCCATATTTGGGGATTTCTGCATTCCCTGAAGATAATCATGGCAGGGAAGCAGAGAATTGCAGCTTTTTAACCCAGAGAATGCAGAAGCAGAGACCCTTCCAGTGGGGGAGGAACATAATTAATCTTGAATTCTCCCTCCAGACACCCACGTGGAATTTCTGGTGAGTAGGGGGCTTTATATTCAAGGACATAGAACATTCTTTAATACATTTAAAAACCAAAAATGTTCTTTCCACTACTTCATTTTTGAAGGGGGGGAAAAAAAAAAGTCATCTGCAAATGACTGAAGGAATAATAATATTCCAAATGAATTAAAGTGTGCAGTTCTTGCCAATGACTTAAATCTGAGATCTCAGCTTCATTTCTTCATAAAATTAAAATATTAATTACTTGTTCATAATGAGTTAAAGCTTCCTGGTAAAAACCAAACCTGGCTGGCATTTTTAAAAGATTCAGTTCCAACAATTAATCTTGCAATAACTTGCAATGAGAAAATTCCTTGGAATATTTACTGGAAATTTAAAAGAGTTTTTTGTCTGGAATGACAACACTTACCTTGAAGGAATGCAAGAGCATGAAGTGTTTACACCAGTAAAATCCTTCTTACAAAATATCACTTTTAAAACAGGTTTTTTCTTGTTTCTACATTTATTCTCACAGTTTTCTTTTCACATCCAAAATACAAAAGCAGGAACTTTATGACTTTATATCATTTATGGCCTATTAGGAATCAAGGAGAGGGATTCAAATGGTGCCAACAATTTGCTTGTAAGGCTGATTAAAATTGAGAATTCAACTCAGAGCAAGGATGTGACAGGCAGGCCCTGGAGTTACCACTTCTAGTATAAAAAAATAAAGTAAAATATCATTTATATCTTTAAATTTGCGATGCTTTCTGTGCTGTATGAATAGATAACCAATTCCTTTATTTGAAATGATGGTTTCAATAGATATATTTGTGTTTAAACACTTCACTGTCTCCTCTGACAGTGCTTTCTCTACCAAATACCCTTCTCTGCCTAAATCCAGCTTAGATTGGCTGGGAGTTCACAGAAATATTGTTTTTCAGGCTCCTGTGTTACGAATTCCTAACTTTAAAGCAGCTTGTGATGCTCTTCCCATCCGTGCACGTTGGCCCTTCATTCCATGCTGATTTTTGTAACTCTGCTGATGGGTGGAATTTTCCCTCGGAGGAGAAGGGGGAATCCCTCACTCCCAGCACTAACGCTGAGCCCACCCCATGGAATCCTCACCCTTGTTCTCACCCCCTGTTCTGGATGTTGTTTGTCAGAGCTGACCACAAAAAAACCCCAAAAAACCAAGTTCTTGGCTCCTGCAAAATAACTCCCCTGCAGAATATCTCACCTGCCCTGTAAAATATCTCACCTGTTCTGTCGAGAACTTCCCACAGTCTGTGCCAGGCTGCTGGATGATTTTTGATTTTTTTTTTTTTTTTTTTTTTTTTTTTTTGTTCAGCTCAGGTAATTCTTCAGTGTGAGCTCTGCTAGATGAGAGATAACATCCCTGGCCAAGGAGGGATTTAACAGGATCCTCCTGGCTTTGTGATGGAATCAGGAGCTCCATCACTGAATGTTTTTACTGAAGGAAATCCCACCAGAAATAGGAGAGGATGGGTGGAACCAAGCTCCAGCACCTGCAGAGCTGCAGTTGAAACAGTGCAGCCCGAGCTGCTGTTCCGTGCCCTGGGATTCCAGGATTTCGTGTTTTGGATCCCAGAAATCCAAGCCTCCTGCTGGAAGGTGACGGGAGCACATCCCTGATGGTGATGTGGGATTCCCATAAAAACCACCCAGCTCTGCTGTCCGTGAGCACCCAGAAAAATCCGTTCATACCTTTAAATTCTCTGCGATGATTTACCTGAGCTGAATGGGAACGGGAATCCGGGAATCCGGGAATCCATATATAAATACACGTATTTGTAAAGGGCAAGTTGAGCACTACAAGCACCAGGCTGGTGCAGGTACAAGGATGGGAGCTGGCATCCCTCTTCCAAGGATCAGTTTCCATGGCTGCAGGAGCCAGGACTTGCACTCACATTCACTAAAAAATTAAATAATTGGTGCCACACACAATTCCTGGCGTGTGGAACTGCAGTGCTGCCTCAGACAGACTCATCTTTGTGTTTTGTTTCCCTTCAGGCTGCAAAAGAAACCCAGCAGACGACCAACACCAAAGTGAGTAGCAGGGGTGGAATTATCTGTGCAATGGAGGAAAAAGGGAATTCTTGCTGGCATGTTCAGACTCTTAAGTGTTTTAATTTCTTTTTCTTTGTGCTGGCTTTGCTGTGTCTTTTTGCTCAAGGAAGGGCAGGGATGCAGCTGAGTGGGGAGAGGTGATGCTCACCTGCCCCAGGTGATGCCTGGGAGTGCTGGATTTGTTCCCCATTTTTATTTTATTGTCGTTTTTATTGCCAGAGCCCTGAGCAGCCTGCTGTGACCTGTGTGAAAGCAGACAGAAATGTCCCTCCCTCCCAAGAGCCACCAGCCAAGCAGAACCCAAAAATGCCAGAGACCACGGCCCCTGTGCAGGCAGTGGCCACTGAAACCCCCCGGGAGGCCACCAAGGACAAAGGCTCGGCCACTCCCCTGCCCCTGAGCAAACTCTTCTGGAAAAAGGTACCGGGGCTGGGAGCTGGGCAATCCCTGCAGGAATTCACTGAATTCCAGCCCAAGATGCAGCAAAGCAGCCAAAGCCACCACGGGCAGCAGATCCCGCCTGTCCCCACATCAGGGACACGGATTTATCTCGGGTATTTTGATTGGTTTTATGGAGTCAGGGATGTTGTTCTCTTCTGTTAAATATCCCCCGGAGATCACAGCGTTCTTTATTAAAATTTATCATTAATAGAGATAAAGCTCTAAAATCTCATTTCATTTCTTTGCTTTTAATGTCTGGAAAGTATCAGATGCCCACCTGGGATCAGCTGGGTCTGTTCTTACCAACAGAAAATGTTCTGTGGCAGAGCAGATCAGCCTTGAAATTTGGGGTCACAATTGCCTAGGGAGGCACATTGTTCCTCAATTTAAAGAATGATTTTAACTAAATCTAGGGCCAGCTCTAAAACCACAGTTCCTGTTTCCACAATCCTCACGTTTAGATGATAAAGTTTATTCATTCTTAATTTCATTTCACAGAAGGGCTGTATGAAACTTTACTGAGTCACTGGATGTTGAATAACTGCTTTTCTGGGCTTCTGCTCAAGCTCAAATCTCACAAATTTGCTGCTTCCAAACACTCAGATACCTCTGAGCTGCTCCTGCAGCTTCTTTAGCTGTGTTTTCCCACTGGAGCTGCAGTGGGAATATTGGTTATTCCAAAAATCCAGTATTTAACATAAATTAAATATTTGGATAATTTATTTATGTTAATAAAAAAGAAATGAAGGTATATTTTGATACTTACAGAGAAAACATGCTTGAAAATAATCAAAGCTTTAAACATTTGCCACTTGGAACAGAATTTCCCAGGGTGAATCAGGTGCTTGGAATGAGAGGAAAGTTGGGAAGAGGGAGAGGGAAAATTTTTCTGTGGTTGTTATTGTTACAGAAACCTTCTCTGAGTAATCTGGGTTATTTGAAAACAGAGTTGGGGAGCAGGATGTGTGCTGAACATCAGGATGAAATAAGGGAAAGCAGAGGCATTCTGGCAGGCTGCTGGGTGTAGTTTCAGTGTAAAGCAGCAATAAATCTGGTCTGAACCCAGTAATTTCATCATGAAGTATCAAGGTCTTTGGGAAAAAAAGACAAAACATACAAGAAGGGAAAATTTTCTTGCAGAAAAATAGTGAAAATCACTCCTGAGGGGGAGAAATCAGTGGGGATGGTTGGTTTAAAATATTAATTTGATAAGTTTTGGTAAGATTTCAAAATCTGATTTTGACATTTTAGACCAAATGAATTCTAGATATTTTTAGTACTGTATAATGTAGGCACTGCTCACAGCAGCTCCTCAAATCTCAGAGCTGAAATCGGGCTTGGTACCTGCCCTGAGCACCTCAAACCTGTGAAAATCTTCAGTTCTGGGCTCTCACAGCTCAGGGTAGGAACCTTGGACCAAAATCTTCTTTCACTGCTGTTAGTTGATAATGCTGGGTTCGATTTCTCCTACATCACCCTCAGCTCTTTATGTCAGGGCTTAGAAAGTTTTCTAGGGAATTCTCTACCACTCCAAGCAGATTTGGTTGTATCCAGCAATATTAAGGGGTGATTAAAGCATTTCCACAAATGCACTGAATTACAATAGGCTGTGAAATCTGAACTTTGTTAAACGAGCTCCTTTCTGCTTACTTGGAACTTCTTGGGTCTGGGATCATGCTGAGACCAAATGTTTTTTGCAGAAATTCCCTCCAGAAAACTGAAGTAGAAAACTGAATTTAGTCCTAAGAATTTAAAAAAAAACAAACCAAAAAACCAAACTCTGCCTGTTTGAGCATTACCTGTAAAAGGCTGATGTTGCTTCATTGAGTTTTCTTGGCAGAGAATAATATTTTATATTTCCTTTGATGAAAGACCTCGGTGAGTCAGTCAGCTCAAAACTAAATAAAATGAGGAGAGGTGAGATTGAGGTTGGCCTCAAACTCAGCTTGGTTTGAAGGTTCCGTGGGATCTTCTGCAGTGAATTTATTTTTTTTTTTCTGGCACATTTAATGCACTGTCCTTTTGCTAAAACAGAGAATCCAAACTCAAATAGGTGCAGAATTCAGAGTCTTTTGAACTCACAAACAGCAACCACAAGACTCACTAGACCCAGGATTCAGCTCCAGCTTCCCTTTCCAGGCAGTCTCTTAAATATCCATCTCCTGATGAGCTTTCACTTCAAAGTGCAGCTAATGAAGTGCCTGTCAACACGTGGCACTTAATGCTGCTGCTCTGCCTGCAGAGGAATAAATATGGAAAGGGAAAATGAAAAATTCCTTATTCAGCTTCTCAGCTGGGAGCCACTTTGTATTTGCACCATTTCCTGATCAGTCTTCACCAGAATTTTCACGACTGTTACTCAAATATTTGCTGTGCCAGCATTTTTCTTGGCTTTCTCCTTTTTTTTTTTTTTTTTTTTTTTTCCCCAGAAGGAATACTAATAGGGAATTACAGTGGGCAATTTCCAATATTTGTGTTGGAAAGCTGCTTTCAAGGCCTGGTAGATATGTGATCAGGGCAGAGAAACATGATGCTCCACATTTATCTGATCAAAGCAGGCCAGGCCAGGGTGGAAGGTGATCAAGGCAGAGTTATTTACCCTGCTCTGGGATCTGTCTTTAAAAGCAGATGTGTTTAGTTAAAAAACTTGAATTTTAAGCAACTCTTGCCATGCAACTGCAGGAAAACCGTGCACTTTTGGCTGATGTGCAAACAGCAAACTGGTTAATGAGTGGGTGAAGCAGAATCCCAGACTGGTTTGGCTTTGGGGGATCTGAGAGCCCATCCAGCCCCACTGTCCCAGGTTCTCCAAACCCCAATGTCCAGCCTGGCCTGGGACCCTTCCAGGGCTCCAGGGGAAGCCACAGCTGCTCTGGAAAACTGTGCCAGGCCCTGAGCACCCTCCCAGGGAGGAATTTCCTCTGGGTATCCAACCCACATTTCCCTTCTTTCAGCGTGAAGCCATTCCCTGCTGTCCTGCAGAATGTCCTGAAGGAATGTGTAAAAAAAATCCCTGATGTTTGAAATAATCTGTGAATAGCTGACTAACCCTAATTGAAGTGGACAGTGCTTTTTGGAGCTTGGCATTTGATCCCAGGGTGCTTTTGTTGGTTGTGCCACCAGTTCCAGTGCAGAGCCCAAACTCCTTTGGGATGCAGCAGAGTGATCCCAGCCTGCCCCCTGGGAATGGTGAGATCCCTGGAGCTGAGCCCTGCTTTTCTGAGCCACTGTCTCTGCTCTGAGCCATTTCCTTCCAGCAAAGAGATGGGGAATTGATGATATTGGATGTGTGAAAAGCCAGAGATCCAGAGTGAAATTATTATAGATTGATTATCTCAAAGCTGTTCATAAATATAAATTAAATCTACAATTCCATGGGGAAGTGGGGTGTGCTGTAACCATCTCAGAGGATAAGGAATATTTATTCCCTCATCATTCTTCTCCCTGCTGCCCCACCCCCAAAATGTTGTTTCTTCCACAAAAGAGGAGTCAGGAACGAAGCAAAATCTCTCCTGCTGCTGCAGGAGTCCATGATGGGTCCCCTTCCTGAATGTGGAGTTCCCTGCAACTTAAAAATATGACAGAACTAAAAGGTGTAATAGAATACTGAGTCAATCTATTGGATGACTTGGACTAAATAAATTGGGATTTTATTTGCTCAGAAAGGGAAATGACAACAGCACACAGGAAAACTGCTGTGAAGGGGAACAGGAAATATTGTCCACAATAAAAGTGGCAGAGGCCAAACACAAGAATGTGGTGACAAGTAAGAATAAAGAAGTGACAGGACAGGGGTAATGGCTTCAAACTGACACAGAGGAGGTTTAGGTGGGATACTGGGAAGGAATTCTTCCCTGTGAGGGATGTGAGGTCCTGACACAGATTCCCAGAGAAGCTGTGGCTGCCCCATCTCTGGAAGTGTCCAAGGCCAGGTTTCAGCCATTAACAGTGTCCATAGTGTGTTTTAAATAATCTTAATTCTGCTTTGGAGTGCAAATTCCTGAGTATGATTTTCCTCATATTTACTGGATTTACTTTAGCCTCATCTCTTCAGGACATGCATTGCTGTAATTTCATTTTAATTCTTTTGACATTGTAATCAAAGCTAGATTCTTGTGACTGGGAACCAGCAACTCAAGAAAGGTTATTTCTTTCATTTATATAAACTGGTGGGATTTCAACACTGATTTACTTCTTTTCAATTGGGATTAATCAAACTCCTGAAGCAACACGAGGAGAACAGTGAAGCTGAGGATGCTTTTATACCCGGTTTGATTGTAAAATTTTAAAAAAACCCAACCAACTCCTCACGGATTGAGCCTGAATGTTTTTTCCCACGTTCTTTCCCAACTCAGAACTCCTCGGAAGAAGCAGAGGCCGTGAGCAATGAGAAGGCAGAGGTGGCTCTCGAGGCCGTGGCTCCCGACAGGGACGAGAGCAAGAGCGCAGAGAGCACCGAGGTGAAACCGCGAGGGGCGGAGAGCAAAACGCCCAAGGCAAACCTGAGGAAGTTTTTTAAGCTGGTAAGAGCAGCTCTTCCCTTCGGGAGCTCGGAGGGTTTTGGGGAGGCGAGGCTTGGAAAACACTTTGCCCTTGTCCGGGAGGGCGCAGGGATGCTCAGGGATGCTGAGGGATGTTCAGGGATGTTCAGGAATGCTCAGGAATGCTCAGGGATGCACAGGGATGCACAGGGATCTGCAGGGATGTTCAGGGATGTTCAGGAATGCTCAGGAATGCTCAGGAATGCTCAGGGATGTTCAGGGATGCTCAGGGATGGGCAGGGATGCTCAGGGATGCTCAGAGATGCTCAGGGATGTTCAGGGATGTTCAGGGATGCGCAGGGATGCTCAGGGATGCTCAGGGATGTTCAGGGATGTTCAGGGATGCTCAGGGATGCTCGGGGATGCTCAGGGATGTTCAGGGATGCTCAGGAATGCTCAGGGATGCTCAGAGATGCTCAGGGATGTTCAGGGATGCTCGGGGATGCTCAGGGATGTTCAGGGATGCTCAGGGATGCTCGGGGATGCGCGGCTGGGATTTCTC